GTCCCTAAACTTAGTGGCATAAATTTGGGAGCAGATTAAGCAAGTCAAAATAAGACGAAAATCTAAATAAATATTTTTCCTAATTAGGTATGTTTAAAAGATACAGGGTGATAAAGTTTACTTATCATATCAGTTTTTTTAATATAACTTCCACTATGGTAGACGTGGAAAGGTGATATTTTGAGAACAGTCACTTACTACCAAAATACATATTCACACATAATAACAATTGTTCGAGTGAACGCGGTGTCGTAGAAACAGGGGTTCCTTAAGCTTATTGTCCCATACAAACTTTGAGGTTAGGTTTTTATACCATTTGATGCATTTTTTCGATTACTCAGTTCGTCTACTATTAAAAAGGTATACCTCTCAAACTTCGATAAAATAAACCGTTTCCGAGATATCCGAGATTACAATAATTGTTATATCGCATTAAAGGACTAAAAGGTACGAGCCCTGTCTCAGTGAAGTTGGCCCAACCACTCAAAATATAAAATTTGTAATTTTATGCGATGAAAAGCCAACAATTTTTTATCATATGTAATTCTTGGTTAATCTTCATGTTGTAAATTTTTTTTAAAAATATGTGTATGTATATTATTTAGTTTTAAGTTGGATGTTTGGTTACAATACAAAAAAATCGACAAAAATGCATTAACTTGGATGGCCAGATTTTTTAATGCAAGTCGGCTGTGCTAAAAGTAAAGATAATATTTAACATTTAAATAATTGTAGGCAAGTCGGTAGTGACATTTCAGTATATATTTATGCTTTCGGTGTGGTTGACAAATAATAATGTCCCGAGAAAAAGCTGTTTCTGAAGAAATAAGAAAAGTAATAATTCATTTGCATTTAAAAAGAAAATCCGCTGCACAAATCGCTGAAACTGTCACGATATACAGTGCGAAATATTGTTAAACTGCACAAAACTACAGGATCTGTGGCGCAGAAACCAAAAAATGGAAGTCGTCCTCACTATTCTGATAAAAATTTAAGGGCTTTAAGAAGAATTATTGTTCAAAATCGTAGGGCTAATTACGGTGAATTAAAAGTTTTGTGAAATTAGGCAACGAGTAAATGTTTTTCAAGAGCAACTTGTCATAGAGCTGCTCAAAAACTTGGGTTTAAAACTTACAAGGTTTGCTTATAATGTATACGATTTTTATTTATTTTTAATTTTACTATCTGTAGGCAAAGGAAAAACCTTTATTGACAAAAAAACAGAAGAAAAATAGACTTCTCTGGGCAAAAGAGCACAGGACTTGGTGTCAAAATCAATGGGATTCAATTATATGGAGTGACGAAGCTAGATTTGAAGTTTGCGTTGGTGATAATCGAAGCCGAGTCATTAGAACTAAAGCAGAAGTCTTTCACAATGACTGTCTTAAGAAAAAAGTAAAGTTTCCGGCCTCTGTGATGATTAGGGGATCTATGTCAGCTAAAGGGATCGGTAAATAACACTTTGTAGAGGGCATTATGTATGCTGATAAATATATTTACGTCCTAAAAAATAACTTAAAACCGCAAATTGAAGAAATGCGTTTAAATGATATTGAATGCATTTTCCAACAAGATGGTGCAGCGTGTCATACGGCTAAAAAAGTGAAAGCTTGGATGATAGAAAATAATATTTCACTTTTAAAATGGACATCTAGTAGTCCAGATCTTTCGCCTATAGAAACTTGGCATATTATGAAAAAGAAGCTCAGAGAACAGCCCGCAAGAACCGTCTTAGAGTTGCGTGCTCGCCTGCAAGAAATTTGGAATAATTTTACGCTGGGTGATTGTCAAAAATTGGTTGACACATGCCGAGACGTATACAGGCAGTAATAAGCCATATAGGAGATGTTACGTAGTGGTAGTTTCCAATTAAAATGTATTTATTTAAAATATTTTTTTTTCTTAATTTTTGGTTTACGGACAATATAAGAGAATTTTAAATATTTTTTTATTAGGTACTTAAAAATACAATTTAACGGTAGAAAATTTAATAAACGTTATTTATTTAATTAAAGCAATGTGTTAATTTTAATTAATCACCGTATAATATTCTAAATATATTCAAAAAACTATTTTTGTTAGTTGGGCCAACTTCACTGAGACAGGGCTCGTATATGATAACAAATTTTTTAATTGAAAAAACTACAATTTTTTTAATGTGACGGTCAGGGCAAAAAGTCTCGAGGCTCATGGAATGCCGTTTTTTAGTTTTTTCAATTAAAAAATAAAATTTGTTATCATATACCTTTTAATCCTTTTAAATAATGCGATATAACAATTATTGTAATCTCGAATATCTCGGAAACGGTTTATTTTATCGAAGTTTGAGAGGTACACCTTTTTAATGGTAGACGAACTGTGTAATCGAAAAATTGTATCAAATGTTATAAAAACCTAACCTCAAAGTTTGTATGGGACAATAAGCTTAAAGCAACCCCCGTTTCTACGACACTGTGTTCACTCAAACAATTGAAATTATGTGTGAATATGTGTTTTGGTAGTAAGTGACTGTTCGCAAAATATCACCTTTCCAAGACTACCAGAGTAGAAGTTATATTAAAAAAACTGATATGATAGGTAACACTTTATCACCCTGTATCTTGGAAACATAAGTAATTAGGAAAAATATTTATTTAGGTTTTCGTCTTATTTTGACTTGCTTAATCTGCTCCTAAATTTATGCCACTAAGTTTAGGGACACCTTGTATATGTACCTCAGATATATACAAAAGTAGTAATTTTACCTCACTTTTAATTTTATTTAAAAAAAAACTCGTCGAGCGATTTGGCTAAAAAACTAGTCAATATAACTTATTTTTACAAAAGAAGTATTAATTTTTTTTTATTTTTTAAGTAGTAAAGAGATGTTTTTATTTAATTAAAGAAATTCATTTCCATACTTTATTTCTCCTAAAATTTTACAAAAAACCTCCTAAATTCCTAAATAAAATTTGTAATTTAGCCGTGGGAGCCCTGAAATTGGTTTTGGGTGGTAGTGACCCCTATGCAAATAATAAAGCAATATTTTTAGTGGATTTTATGAAAACAAACCAAACATTGAAAACGTAAAAAAGTAATTAAATTGTTTTTAGAGTATTATATTTTATTTACATGTTTATTTTATTTTTTTGAACCAACTATGTAAGTAGAACTCCGCCTTAAATAAAATTTTAATTTAATTTAAGGGGGAGTTGGTTTGAAAAAAATGCATCACAAAATATACACAGTCAAAGTGTCTAGGGAACACCTAAATATTTTTCAATTATTGCAGTAAAACCAAAAAAACGAATGTGAAAATATAATGAATTAATAAAAACAAGTGTTTTTAACTAATTAAATAAAAAATATATTGTAAAATGATGTTACAACCCCTTCAAAACTTAAAATAATAACACCCACCAAATATCCAAATATTTATAATTATGTTATTTATAATAATTATGCTACATTTATTTTTTTTATTAAAAACTAATATCCGGACGGACCTCCTCGGTTGTTTACGACCGCCCTACATCGATTTGGCATACTCAATATAAGCCTATACAGTGGCGTATTTAGGGGGGGGTCCGCCGGGTCCGGACCCCCCCCGGGCGCACATATTTTATTATTTTTATTACAAAAAAAAGTTAAAAACAAAAATAAAAACCTCAAGACTGTCAACGTACTTTATTATTTATTAATTATATTTAAATATAAAATCATTAAAATCAAAAATCAACTACTTACGTATTAAAGCATAGCATATTATTGAGTTAGTTTTTTTGGACCCCCCCCGGAGCTAAATCCTAAATACGCCACTGAGCCTATATATCGAGTAGGTTTTGGTCCAGATTTCGCCACACCTCCTGTACCGCCAAAATTAGCTGCTGCTGGTCTCCATAATGGTTTTGGCGATTCAAAAGTCTTCTTTTCATAGCATCCCATACTTTTTCTATTGGATTAAGGTCTGGGGAGTTTGCTGGCCAAGGTAAAACGCTTATATCATTCTCTTCGAATGCTGCTCGAACGATCCTCGCAGTATGTGGCCTAGCGTTATCCTGCTGGAAAATGGAATTTGGGCCCATATTGGTTAAATAGGGTAACACAATAGGTAAAACTATGTTGTCGCGATATCGAACTGCATTCAAAGTTGTTTCCATTAAAAAGAGCTCGGTTCTTCCGCCAGCATTAATTCCTCCCAAAAACATCAATGAACCTCCTCCAAAATTGAGCATGTTGTAGCCGTGCTTGGTTTCCAGGTTCTCTCCAGATACGTATCCTTCCAGAATCTGGGTGGTAGCAAAATCTTGACTCATCAGAAAAGAGAATACGGCTCCAATCATCAGGAAGATGTTCTTGTGCCCAAGCTAAACGAGCAGCGCGATTTCCAGGAAGCAATCGGGGTACCCATAAAGGTCTTCTCTGAAATAGACCTTGCTCTCGGACACGGTTTCTGACGGTTTGAGCTGACACAATCAAATCGTGGGTCCTAAGAAGCTCTTGTCTTAGCTCGGGAGCTGTTATTTCCGGGTGTCTCCGAGCTTGCAAAAGCAAAAAGCGGTCTTGTACCGGGGTAGTTATCCTACTGCGGCCTGGATGTCTTTCCTTTACGTCATTATACTCATTGTAAGGTCTCCACAATCTGCTTATAACACTCACAGATGTGCCCATTTGACGAGCCACTTCACGTTGTGATGAACCACCTTGTATCATCCCAATTGCTCTTAATTTTTGTTCGTCACTTAGATGGTGCCTTTCCATAATAGTAAAAGTATTTTTATAAAAATTTGATGAATATTGAGTAAATAACACAAGATATACTAAATTGCACCGTTTAACGGGTACCCAGAAATACGATAAAAAGTAAAAAACATTATTTTTTGCATTATGTTATGTTATGTTATTTTATAATTTATAAGTTAAATTATTTAATAATTAAATTTAATTCGATTTTTCTGGGTGTTCCCTAGACACTTTGACTGTGTATACTTTAATCCAAGGTAGAACATTTCGAGTTAAAAGCACAAAATAAAAGCGAGCAGTGTCAGGCTGGCGGGCGCGGACTTCTCCGCTGAAAATGGCGACAAAAGCTGCCTCACGACGTACATCTTCAACCCGGCGGACACGTGCACGGGCAGCGCGAGTCCGCAAAAGTTCTCCGAGAACTCCGGGTTGAAAGTCGCGCACATGCACCGCAACTTCCTCTACGGCAAGATCCTGCCTGACGGCCGGCCCAACTACTTCGCCGACTACGAGCTGAGCTTCGAGCGGTGCCGCTTCGGGGCCGGCGAGCACGCCAAGTGCTGCGTGGGCGGGCGCTTCGGCGGGGATGCCGGCCTGGGGCACCTGTACACCATCAGCAGGAGCGGGAGCGGGGAGGAGCGCACCTACGACGAGCCGTACGCCGGGGATTTACCGCGGAGGTGGTTGTGCTGCCCCGGGTCGCAGCAGCAAGCGGGAGGCGAGCAGCCGCCGCTGCTGGAGGCGGCGGTCAGAGCGCCGTACGCGATCGTCGATACTGTCACCAAAGAGCCTGGTCATAATTTTGGTCCAGGAACATGCGTAAGTAGTGTAAAGATTTCCCCTTACACCTGGTTCGTTTAAAACAAGTCTTATGAAAAAATATTGAAAACTTCCGACCAATTTCACTTCTTACCTCCATATCAAAAATACTGGAAAAACTTGTTGCAAACAGACTTTATGATTACCTTTAGAAATTCAAGCTCATTTCTAAATGTCAATACGGATATCAAAAGCGACTTTCAACAGAGACAGTCACTACAGAATTCACACAACATATAAATAAAAAAATAGATGAAAGTAATATAGTAGTAGAAATATTTTTTGACTTGTCTAGAGCATTCTCTCTGTATCCAGATTTTTTATCTAATAAACTATATAACCTTGTATGACTATGAGTTATGAATCCCAATCTATTATACCGTTTTGAGTGAGTTAGTATGAGTATAAGAGACGTATAACCAGCCCCATTGCCTCATCGCTCCCGGACCCCGTACAGGCCTATGTTTACTTATGCCGATTTTTGTTCGCCCCCAGCAACTGCACGGCTTCACCCGTGTTTGCTGGGTGCGAATGTCCATTGCGTTTCGTACTGTCCCCTGTTTGGGGCTCGAGAGCGAGAGGCGAATAGTTTTAATAGCCATTCTCGGGTTCGCCGAGCCGATGCTATACGCCCAGTAGGGTATAGAGGAGGAGGGACGGGAGGTGGTTTTTGGGGGACAATTACGCCGACTTAAAACTAAGTACGACGCGGAATCCCCTAGACCAGTCGATTAGTATTACTCCAAACATTTGGGATTACTATTTAGAGTTGGGGAGTTGTTATTTCGCTGCAGGGGTGTAGTTTCCTAGTCGAGGTCTTCGTCTTGTTCGTTATTGTCACTGTCCGTGTCCTGGTCAGATAGTTCCTGCACTTGGTAAAGTGTGTCAGTTGTTTTTTTATTTTATTTTTATTGTTGCTTAGTTGCTCCCAACTGGTCTTGTTAATTTGTGAGAAGTGCATGTTTTGTGCTAACGTGTCATGATGTGAAGCATGGTCTCCCGACTTTTATGTCTGTAAGGTCTAGTTTAAGGGTGGCTTGTAGTATGTTGTTGCGTTGCATACGAGTGACGTGGGCCCAGTATTTTAATTGGGCTACTCTTACTCTTTTGGTAATGGTTTTGCCCATTAGCAGGTCGCGGGGATGTTGGTGATGGTAGTCGGGTAAGTCTGTCGTTAGTAGTGTAATGATCTTCCGTTTAAGTTTGCGTAAATTTGTTCCAAGCACGTTTTGTGGTAGAGTTTTGTCTTTTTTTCTTAAATTCCAAAATTAAGTATTGCATTTATTTATTAGTTAAACAAATGACAAGCGCAATTATTCTGTTATCTAATGTTTACAAATCTAGTAGAGTTTGGTTATTAGGCTTTTTTTTTACTGTGTTAGGGTTATAATGATTAATGTGTTAGTTTATTCTGTGAGTCTAGTGTTTATTTTCGGTTTCGTTTGGAATTGCATTACGCATTTGTTGTTGACAGATTTATTGCCCTACGCCGTGTGCCTTTCTTAGGTTTTAAAGATATCTGCCGTGTTTAAATTGCAGATTTTGTATTAGGTCGTGCATATTCTTAAGGTAACTTATCAATTTTTTTGCGGATTGCCACCTCCCCTCTTGTTTGACCTCCTTTGTTTGTTTGTCCAGTGAAAAGCGTCCAATGACAGGTGGCACTTAACTCATTCATATCACTTAACACTTCACTCCTTAATGACCGTTACACCATTTTAGTTTGCACTCTATGAAAATTGTTTGTTTCACTATAATTAGTTTGTACTTTTTAAAAATTATTGTTCGTTTTAATATTTAAACTTTTACGTTTTGAGCTTTCACTCTCACGTCGTGCCTTCTCAAGCGCTGGAACCTGACTGTACACATTAATAAAAAATATAGTAAAAATAAAGATAGTTTTATGTTTAAGGTAAATAAGCAATATATTTAAATATAATATACAATATAGTAACTCATGACATTTTAAACATTTAATTTTCTTAGTTTTTTCAATAAACTTTCTTGACCCATTACTGGTAATACTTATAAGAAAGAATTGAACCTACTTGGTTGCATAGTATGTACCGATTGCGGCAAAGGCCACGTCGCTACGCGTCGTTAGACGGTGTGGATCACATCATGTTCTTACATCTCGCCTCTGTTGGCTTACGAACCATGTTATATAAGCTCAGGTATTTCTTTGTATTGGGTGTGTTCCACTACTACAAGTTGCTCGACAGTGTCGAAACTGATGATACCCAATATAGGTCAAAACACCTTTCTGTTCACAGTGTGTCTGTCGGTATTTGAAGTTGATGGAACGCACTCAAAACAAAAAACTTTGGCGAGGTGTAGGTTCAATTCTTTCTCATAACATTTTTGTATATTAAAAAGTACAATAAATATGTTACAATTTTTAATTGTTAACATTAAAAAATATTTGATTTTAAAATATTTTATATTTAAAATGGCAACAAAAAAAAATCTAATTATAACTTTAAATTAGTTAAGTATACTAAACAGCTACTTTAATTTTTACTTAAAAGTAATTTTAACTTTTAAATAGCAATATTTTGTAACAGAAACTTTATGCTTTCCTTAAATGGTTAGTATACTATAAAGTAATAAACATTTAAGTAAAACTTGGTTGCCCCCAAGAAGGCTTTGCAACTTTAAAAAACTTAACAAATACTTAAATTGTTGCTTGGGGAGTAATTTGTTAATTAAAGTACGTTTTATTTTTCACGGCCTACTGTTATTTATTTATCAAACTCTTCAAATACTTTAATCCCTTAAAAATATTTATTTTAAATTTTCAAAATCGTATTTTCTACTTCTGCAGCAAATTCGTCGCTCGGCCGCGCTCTGATCGAGAATTAAGTTCCTACTAATAATTTCCCCTTTTCACACCTTGCTTAACTCGAAAATTACGATTTAAGGAAATTGTGCTCAGAACCGCTGAAGGTATTTCGCGTGGCAGATCTCAGCACACCGGGATGTCAGAAAGACCCAAACCTCAATAAATGTATTACATATTACAGGACTTACCACCTATCGATCGTATTAGAACATATTCGCTCGTGTTCCATACAGTGGCGGATGGTCAGGGTAGGCCTCTGAGGCCGTCAAAATGAAGGAACGAACGATCTTTTGTAGTTTGCTTTTTACCTATTAAAAGTGTACTTTCACTACTGAGTGTAGAACTGTAACGGTTCTACACTCAGAAAAATGTTTAATAAATATAACAAAAAAGTAGTTTATCTTAATAAAGTAAATTGCTTTTGTTACGGCAAAAAGATCATTTTTATAAAAATTATTTATTTACAAACGCTGCTTTCAGTAATAGGATTTGCATTAATTATAAAGTAAATTTACGTTATGTTTATAAAAATAACACTCTTCCAGATGCAGAAACGAATTGATAAATATAGTTACTATTATTTGTCCAAAAAAACAGTTCTATACCGTTTACAAAAACGTTTGTAGTATTAATGAAACCCTAATGGTATTATCATAGAAATTTTGTAAATTTTACAAATCCCGTTTAAAATAAAACTTTTTTTATAATCACGGTGTGCCTGAACGAAGTTTAAGTCACATAAAAATGCTGCCAAATCAGTGATTCTTGTTCGGGACCCTTTGGTGACTTAAAAATGATATTTACCAACATGCTAGCTGCTCCTCTTTTCGAAATTTTTTGAAAATTCATGATTTTTGTTTTTAATTTTTGTTTATCTTAAAGTCTACCTTTGACAGAGTACACATTTGTAGACCGATTTTTATAATATTGGAGTATATTGTTAAGGAGATTTGGAGAATACTGTTTTATACTGTGTACATCATTTAATATATACAGGGTTAGCCAAAAATCGCTTCTTTTAATAAAGCAAAAGCGTAAATTCTTGATTTTGGCATAACACACAAAAAAGATATATACTCACCCATGTTTTTTAGATATTTTTCTGTTTATCAGGCCACAAAATGGGATTATTATTAAGACTTTATAAGAAAAATTGATTTTGAATAAAATTAAATAAAATAACATTTTTGTGCATTATGCTTTTTACCATATAAAAAAGTGATTTTTGGCTAACCCTGTATAAATCTAATGATGTGCTCAGTATAAAAACAGTATTCTCCAAGTCTAGTATAACAATATTATAAAAATCGGTGTACAAATGTGTACTCTGGCAAAGGTAGACTTTGCGATAAAAAATAATTAATAAAAAAATGATTTATTAACAAATTAAAAAAAAGCAGTTAGAATTTTGGTAAATATCGTTTTTAAATCTCCAAAGAGTGCCGATCAAAAAACTTTAACCAGTTTTTCGTTCAAAATTGAAAACTACTATAAAGCCTAAATTAAACAACATTTTAAATATTCTCTAAGCGATATTTTATTTAATTTTATTAAAAAACTATTTTTTTATAAAAGGTTAATAAGAATGCCATTTTGTGACCTGATAAACGTAGAAATATATTTAAAAAAATGGGGATAAATCTTTTTTGCGTGTTATACCAAAATCATGAATTTACGCTTTTGCTTTATTAAAAAACCCTGTATATATCAAATGATGTGAACAGTATTAAAAAGTATTCTTTAAGTCCCCTCAATAATATACTCTAATTTATAAAAATCGGTGTACAAATGTGTACTCTGTCAAAGGTAGACTTTGAAATAAACAAAAATTTAAAAAAAAAATCATGAATTTTCAAAAAATTTCGAAAAGAAGAGCAGCTAGGATTTTGGTAAATATCATTTTTAAGTCACCAAAGGGTCCCGAACATGAAACTGCAATCAGTTTTTGGCGGCAATTTTATGTGACTTAAACTTCGTTCAGACACACCGTGTAATATTAATAAAATTTATGTAAATTTAACAAAAAATTAATTGTTAATTCAATAAACTATTTTCATTGAAAAAATTGTCACATTTTCAACCTACTGTTGGGTGTTGGGTAGTTTTTTTTGAATAATTGCAAGGCATTAAAACAAATTATTTATTATAACAATTAACT